TCAGTTTCTTAGAACCTTATGAGATCTTGGCTGTTCTAACACATCTAAAATTGTAAAGCAAAACTTCACTTTAAAATAACTTCTTAGTTTTTGTAATAAATTTTAAAAAGTACAGCTATTTATCACTTCACTTGCTCATCTGAAACCAACACTTTCCCAATGGTGAGCACCAGAATGGCACAGACCACACATACACACCAGTGATCTTTAGCTAGACATTAGGCACTAAAAAGGCAGAACACACATAATTATACACACAGTGTGAAACACAGCTACATTAGCAGAACCTGGCCTCAAAAAGTTATTGGTTAGAGAAGCAGACTCCTTGTCTGTGCAATATCACAGGGCAGAGATGAAGGAGAACAGCAACAACATGGATAAATGGGGGAAAAGATTATCATGATCCCAGTTGGCACCTTTTTAGCTCGCCTTTCTCATGTGTCTTTAAAATGTACTATTTAAGGTAAATTTACACTTTCCTGACACAAGCACTAGGACAAGCTATACTTGCTAGATTTCTGCAAGTTACTTACTCACTCGAAGCCACAATATTTGAAGGCACAATCCTTCAAACCTGGAAAGAAACATCAATAATCAAACCTAAGTTTTATTAGTGCCCATTCTATAAATTGTACACTGGCTAACCGTGTGAAAATGAAATCTCATTTCAAGTATTCCCTCACAATAAACTTGATAGGGCTTGCAGACGCCACTACTTCCAAACTTCAGTTTATCTCCATCCATCAATAATGCAGTGATAAGGGTACTGACCTATCCATTAAGGCTGTTCTAAGGACTACTAAGATAGTGTATGCAATACAATTTGAATGCTCAATTAAATGTAGTGGCAATATTGTTGTCTCTCGCCCTGGTTACACAGAGCATCACATAATTACAAAGTTATCAGTGGTAACCAATCATGGAATACTGATGAATTGGCAAGTTGTGTAGAAAATACAATATATGTGAGCTGAATTGTGCAATCCATTCTTCCTCTTAATACATATTTTAAATGCAGTACTGTTAGCAGTTATTTTAATCCATACTAACAATGTTGTTGTTATTGCATGCTCTCAAGTCATCTACACTTTATGGCTACCCTACAAATGAGTGAACTCCAAAATATATTGTTAAGGATACAATATTTTGGAGTACCTCCATCCATCAATAATACAGGGATAAAGGTGATAATAGCATCCTGTTCTTGCCCTGGTGTTAGCAGGAAGCTTTCTTTCTGAGCTGGAATCTTGGATAAGAGCTAGGCATAGTTAGGCCTTAAAGTAAGGCAAGCCACACTGTAAGGTCTATTAGGTATAACTTCCAGAATGGAGAATTATGGGATTTGTAGTCCAAAAAATCTCATCCCTACCTGTAAACATTGCATCTGGTACTTCAAAGACAGTATTTATTATGAAGTAAGTTAGGAATATAAACAAAATATGCATTTTACAAAGCCAGTTTTCCACCAAAAGGTTTTATTACAATATTCCAGAATAGCCCCCAAGGCTTCAAAAGGTTCTGGCTTACTATTTGCAGGGCTACTTCGGCCAAATAAAAATAGTGAGCCTTACACTTTGCCTCTAGAAATCTACTCAAATAAAAGACAGCACAAGCCTCTTGTTTACAGAATGAAGCTGCACTTATCCAGCAATTAAACAATGACCCTTCACTTCCTTTGAACACAGTGCAGTGGCCTATTACAGACACAGAAATAAACACTAACTGAACTACATTTCTGATACAGCTAAGCAGAAAACCATTAATAGTGTTGGCTTACAACTATTGGCAAAATAAATTCAAACTGTGCCACAGTATTAAAAATGTTTTACAAATAAAGATCTACATCAAAATAATGTAAACAGAGCATAATAAACTAGGAACACTTTTAGGTCTTTGAAGGGAAAATCATCTCCTATTGAGGTTTATACCTCCCTGGTAAACTACTGCTAATCCACCCAGATGAACAACTAAATTAAGAACTTTTTTCATCATATTAAAATATCAATGAAATGATCTAAGCAAGTCAGAGTATTTCAAGGCCAGTTTATCCAGGATCAGTAAAAATGTATGCTTTGCATTTCAAATTCTGGTTCCTATTCCAAACTTGCTCCAGCCTGCATCCCATCTTACAGTGTCAATCATCCAACTTGAGGGTGAGTGTAAAAGATTCTATCATTCATGAGGACGATGGATGCAAGGGTCAAGAGAAACTAAAACTTTTCAGAATGGTTTCTTTCCTTCTTTTTTTTCCGTACAGTTATGTCAAAACTCTCAGCAAGAGACTGCACAGGTTTCGATTTTTAAAAAGTGACTCAAGCAATCCAGTAAAATAACTATTACTAGTAAATCCCATAATATGCTAGCAATAGAAAACGGCATCTCCTATTATCAATGTTTCTTTTCAAATGCTAATTCTATGCTAATTCTTCAATTTCATATGCAAAAATACACAACCATTACCAAATACATTAAAACACTGTACTGCACAGTACTTTTACATTTTGTTACTTTGCTATTACAAAGACCAGCCATAGCTCTTAAATTCACACTGAAGGAGTTTCAGGGTTTTTTAATTATATATAAAAAGAAACTTAACAAAGAAGCTCTATGACAGATGTAGATAAGTATATTACTCAGCAACTGTGCCTTGTGTAATTATTTCTAAAACTTTAACTCCAGTATTTTTTTCCTTTCTTCTTTGAATGCTGAGTTTACTAAAAAAAAGGGGATCAACTGCAAAGACCTTGATCTACTTCTGAAGAAACTGACTAGATTACTCAATTGGCACAGGTCACATGAGCAAAAGGCATTTCGTTTGGAATTCTGCCTCAACTGTTGAAACTAAAGAATAGGAATGAGGCTTATTAGTTGTATTTGGTAGCATGACAAGGACTTTACCCCTTTCTTTTCCTACAGCAGTGAGTTCAGAAGAATTTTGTATTCATTTTACATTACTTACTATTTGACTCAAATCCAACTAACTATGGTTAGTAGAAACATGCAAACAAGATGTAGTTCACAAAGCAAGTCTGATTCCACTGGACATAGTTAAGATTAACCACAATTTAGAATTGAGATGCAACACCAAACTGTGATAACTATGAAGTGCTTCTAGTGGCTTCCTCTTATTGCAAAGAAAGAAAAGAAGCACATGAGGTCAAAGCTCAATTGAAGCTCATTCTGCCATGTTAAGCAATTTCAGTTTTACCCCCACCATGGATTAACTTAAAAAACAGTATCAGCAATTGGTGTTATAAATGGGAAAAAAATGCTATATGGGATGTTTTAAATTTAAACTTAAAGTGCAACTCTTTCAGAAAGTAGGAGTACTTACATAAATGAGAAATAATAGTAATAATTGTATCAAATGTTCAATTATACAGAACTCTGGTATGTATTTTTTACATATGTTAAAATAAACACTTAAGAAGGCTATAGGAATTTCATTTTTAAAGCATTTACAGCTTTTAATGGATATCTTGGGGAAAAAATCTGAAAAACTAAATTAGTTTTAAAATGCCAGTTCAAAAAGAAGCACATAAAGAAACAAAATGTTACTGATTAATTACATGACTAAACCATGTTCAGCATTTTTCCACAGTGTGGTTTCAAAATACTAATTATAAACATGCAGTGAAGGTTCAGGCATAAATATGGGCTATATCAATCCAAGAGACAACTGGGAGGCATTTCATTTTAGTATATTTTTGAGCTAAACATGCAAAAGAAAAGAATTGAATGAAGTACCTGTATAATTTCAATATTTATAATATGAACACAGTACTGAATTTGCTGTTTTTCCACATTCATTATGCTAAAATTGTTATAATTCCTCAATTGTTGCTTCCCCTGATATGTATTACCTCTCTTCCCCTCCCCACAAAAATATTTTTGAAATGCTTATGAGCTACAAAATAAACGAGGTTGCAGGACTGCAGAACACTTACTAGCTAATAAGGCCAAATGAGCACCATGGGTCGACTTTCCAAATAAACTCGTAATCTTCCACTGTTAAAATACTAGAGAACTTGAATACATCATGGATTGCATTGCAATTTTTTTTTAGTATTGCAACATGCAACAGGTATGACCATGATGACATTCACAAAAGTACAAAAAGTGTGTGTGTGTGTGTGTGTACATTGTGTACAATGTCAACACACCTCCAAATGGGCAAGAGTTGAAAAGTACGTCTGTGGTATCATCACGTAATTTCTTGTGTCACTCAACCTGGAAAAAGTTACTCATGAAGGAACATCGGGCTAAGACACGGCCGGAGATGCTTTTCATGCAGTGGTCTTTTTCTGGCCACCTAGTCGTCTTTTCCCCCTTATTTACTGGTATCTGGCAAACACACGACTGAACTCTTTCCAGGCACCTTCAGCAAGTCTGGAGAGGCTCGCCAGGCACTTTTCCTGCTGGCCGGCTGGCTGGCTGGCCGCCCCAAAGAGGAAAGTCCGTCTCAGGCCCGAATGGACGCGCCCGCCGCCCAGCCGTCTCTATGGTCAGGCTACAAAACACGCGCGCTAAACGGAAGCCCCCGAGTCTGACCCCCCCTCCAGTTAAACAAGGGGGGTGCAGAAGACCAGCCTCTGAATATCCCTGTCCCTAATTAGTGTTAGATCTCCCCCCTTCTCCTCCTCCTCCACACTGACACTGACACACACACACGCAAGGTGGGTAACCCAAGCCCCGCCAAAAGGACCTCCCAGTTTCCTTCCAGCTCTCGACCCTCTTCTTCCTCCACCACCACCGTCGCCGCCACCGTGGCTCGAAGGCTCCCCCAGAAACTGCCGGTCGCTTCCCCCACGCCTCCCCCGAAGTCACGCCCGGATTGTTTTGAAAAAAAGCACAACAACAACCACAACAACAAAAGGGACGCGAGCGGAGGGGCCAGAGGCGGCGGCAGCAGCAGCCGCGGCTCCCCGTGTGGCGAGCAGAGGCTCCGTGTGGCGACCACGGGCTCCGAAAGGGCGGCGTTTCCTCCTCCTCCTCCTCACCTTGGTGGCCATGGTGGGGCTGTGGCGGCGAGAGTCGCGCCCTCCTTGCCCGCCTGACGGGCTCTGCCTTCGGGTCCCTGCTCCTCCTCCTCCTCCTGGGCCGCGGCGTTGGGGTGAGGGGGTGGGGAGGCGGAACGAGAGAGGCGAAGGAGCGGAGCGGGGTGGGAGTGGTGGCGGCGGCGGCAGCAGCAGCAGCAGCTCCTGCGCCTCTCTGCCAGCCCCCTGGCGCCACCTCGTCCTCCGCGGTCTTGACGGGGCCTCAGGCGGGTCTGGCTCCTGAGGGAGAAGGAAGGAAGGGAGGAAGGGCGCGCTCCCTCCTGGGGCAGGCAGTGTCCACACGCAGAGGAAACTCTCCGGGCGCTTCCTCTTTCCCTTCGCCTCTTCCTCGTCCGTTCGCCCATATCCAGGGGCGGAGTTTCACTGGGGCGTCCCGAAACCCAGGCGAGGAAGGGGACGGGAAGCAGCTGCCGCCTCGCCGGCCCACGCTGGCGGACGTGAAGCTCGACAGGCCTCCCCGTCACCGACAGTTTAAGGGATGGGGAGCAAGTCGGGGGGGGGGAGAGATTGCCCTCATACCCAGTGTCATCTTCTCCCCCCCCCTTCCATTTTATTCCGCATGCCCGTACGGTCTTTGAAACGCCGCCTGCTTTGCTTCGCCCATGAAACTTTCCTCTCCCGTCGCTCGAACCGTCAGTGTCAAGGTGTCGCTTGGGGATAGAAGTGATGGTTTGTTAGAAGTGCAAAAGATGGGTATCATTACAATAATAGGACTTCTAACAGGGGGGCTGGAGAAGTCCGTTTTGATCCAGGAAAGCTCCCACTGAAATAAGTAAGTCTTTAAAGTGCTAAAGTATTTCACCTTTCTCTTTTCTCCACCCCACCCCCCTTTTTCACCTTTAAACGTTGCTAGCACTATTACTGCTGCTGCTGCTACTACTATGGTATTACTGCTACTAAATTGAGTTATATAGTCCTTTAGGTTAGGATTCAAAGTCTTTTTGTGCCCACAGCCCCAAACACTAAGCACCAGTCCCTGCTGAACAAAATGAGATATATTTCTAACTAGGAATTTATTTGTAGGATTTAATGACCAAACGTCTTAGCCTGCAGTTTTACTTACCTGGAAGTAAGTCCCATGGAATTTAACAGTCTTTCAGAGTCCTTAATTGGCAACTCATAGGATGATAGCATTTCACAAAATCTGATGTGCACTTTCTTGTGAGCAAGTCTGACTGAAAACAGTTAAATTTTCTTCTAAGCAGATGCAGAGGTATGATTATGGATCCTTGTGGATCCATAAAGCTTAGAAAATTATGGCCTAAACTCATCTATTAGCCTTTAAAATGCCAGAAAACTCTTTAGTGATTTTGTCACATGAAATCCTACTCATTGAAAACCTAACAAGAGTTCTATGGAATCAGTGCTGTTTCCCCCCTCCCCATATTGCAGATTGGGAGATGTTGAGGGACTGTAGAGTACAAATGGAATAAATTTAGTGCATGAAACATACAAAAATTAATTGCAGCAATTTCATTTCGTCTTAAGAAAAAAAAGATACTGTACTAAGATGGAGAATCCCTACCAAAAAAATAAATTGGGACCATTCCACTTCTGCAGTCCTCTACTGTGATTTAATTTAACAATCAAAGACTTGTTTATTTTTGTGAACACAAATGTAAACAAGAATAAATTGTTATGAACAATAACACTTTCCTTATTAGGAGCAATTGATAGGTTTTATTCAGCTTCATGTTATTCATTCCCTTGAAACTATTTAAATCTTTCCACAAAATATACCTTTAGATCACGACATTTCCGTTTAAGTAATGTGTTTCCGCAGGGTACAGTTATAGTTTTTCAGATAAGGCAGCTGTACTACAAAACAATCCCCTCTTCCTCTTTCTTAATTAATTAGGTGATTCTTGGCTTTCTTACTCTCCTTCAGTCCTAAATATGGTCTAGCATTTTAAGGAGTTGCCTTAGTTTGTTTGTTTGTTTTTAACTAGAGATCTGAAATAGCAACATTTATATGGAGGAATTTTTTAATAAACTGATCAACACAGTAGCTGCCCTTTCATGGGTTTAATAGGTTTAGAGCTGAGATACTTCCAACCAGCTATAAGCTCCAGTGTGATGTAGTAGATTGAGTGATGGACTAGGACTCTGGAGACTAGGGACTGAATCTCCACTTGGCCATGGCAAATCACTGGGGGCGTGGAATTGGTAAACCACTTGTTAAATATCTCACTTACCTTGAAAACCCTATTAGTGTTGCTATAAGTTGGTTCTGACTTGATAGCACATAACAACCACGATAAGCTTTGTGGGAAAATACACCTGCTTTGGTCTTGCCCAGAACTGTTTGAAAATGACAAAGCCATATAGTAATAGTGACTGTGAGAAAAATCAAAGGTACATGTTGCTACATAACATAAAGATGAGTAACATTGTGTTTCTGCACTCTCAGAGCAAAGTTATATTTTGTTTAATTAATAATAATAATAATAATAATAATTTATTGTCATTGTAAGTATATACACAGTATACCATACAACGAAATTCACAGACACCCAGAGACCAGACACATGCACACACATAACATTCCCCAAACACTCCCCACCCACTAGAAGTCCCCCACTAAAAATACAAACATCTACACCGCAGGCCAAGTAACACAGTCCAACTAATTATTCACTACTGGTGGTCTTTAAGCTCATTATTAATTGCAATTATAGCTCTAGGATAAAAACTATTTAGAAAATGTGTGGTCTGAGTCTTAATTGTTCTGTATCTTCTGCCAGACGGTAACAGTTCAAAAAAGTTATAAGCAGGATGGGAAGAGTCTCTCAGGATGCTGTGTGACTTCCTCAGACAGCGGGATGTGAAGATGTCATCCAGGGTTGGTAGCTGGAGCCCGATGATATTCTGGGCAATTTTAATGGTTCTCTGTAGAGCTTTTTTGTCCGCTACAGAGCTACTCCCAAACCATGCCAGAATGCCATAGGTTAGGACACTCTCAGTGGGGCTACGATAGTAGGACAGAAGTAAATGCTGTGATAAATTTAACTTCCCGAGCATTCTCAGGAAATACAGCCTCTTCTGTGCCTTCTTTATTAGCATGTTGGCATTTATAGTCCATGAGAGGTCCTCTGAGATGTAAGTACCCAGAAATTTAAAACTACCAATTCTCTCCACTTCCTCACCGTTTATGTACAGTGGTACATAATTATTTTAATAACTAACAATCGGCAGGTAGCCTTGCACACGACCCAGAATCCAGATGGGGACTCCTTATGGAGCACCCACCTGGATTCTAAGTGATGCACAATAGCATGCAGTAAGTAATACCATTAGGAATCACAGCAGGTTCTCTAATTAGTAGTGATCTGCCAGTGTAGCAGATTCCCCCAATCCCAGTGTACTTTACACAAGAGGCTGTTTGCCTGTAAAATTAACGTCTTCACTGTAAAACCTATAAATCAGTGCTTCTCAAGACTTTTTCCACTAGCAGCTCCCTTGACCCATCCTGGAGCCTCCCGGATGCAAAAAAGGATGCTGTTGCTTCTTGTGCAGTTGAGAATCCAGGGACAGGAATGTAGTTTGCCCTGGGGTCTGTGCCTGGGCACAGGCAGGATGCTAGGTGCAATCTTGCCAGGCACATGGGGAGACCTGCCAGCCAATGAAAGGGAGAAGGAGGCAGCAGCAAAGGATGAGAGGATTCTGCACAGTGCCACCTCAGTGCAAAATTTGGGAACCACTGATATAAACTGACATATACCTTCAAAATTCTTTGAGACTTCTCTCATCTAATGTTTTTCACACATTGTTTATAGGGCAGTCTCACATCTGTCCAAACTTACAGTTGTAGTTATAGTCATTCCTCTGTGGTCAGACAGTAAACAGATGCTTGTCTGGCTGACAGGACTTCATTGCTTATTCCAGTACGTATACAATAAAACAGTGTGGTCTCTGCAAGAATACATTATAATTTCTGTTTCTGTTGTTCATCATAGCAATCCAGGTCATCTGTCCATTTACCCTACTGAAAATTATTTCAGTCAATAGCCATCTATCTTCATTATAAGTGTCTTCTTTCCAAATTAGGATATTTAACGTATTTTCCACTTTTAATAAGCTTACTGACACAAATAATGGGAGCATTACAGAAGAAAATGACAGTTTAAGAATATTTGGCAGATTAATTGTCAACATTCTTGCAGACTGTAAGAATTTCAACTGGATGTTCCAAATTAAATGCAATTTAATCTGTTCAACTAAGATCTCTACGATACCAGTTAATTCAGTATTCACTATCTCATGATCATGCATATTACAAGATAGAAAAATAACGGCTGTGCAAGAAGGCATTATTTTCAAGTGCGAGAAAGCTTTTTCCACACATAATGCAACTGCAAAGCCTGTGTTATTCAAGAAGCATGATATGGTGTGGTGCTTAGTGAAAAGTGCTAGGCTCAGTCAACCTAAGAGCAGCTTTATTGGATCAGATGAAAGGCCTCAACTAATCCAACATTCCGGTTTCATCATAGCCATTTAGATGGCTGTGGGAAACATCTGCAAAATGCAAAAACATAACCCAATGTCTTCCCCCCTGAACCTCCTGGAAGAAATATAAAATACAAATGTATTCTAATTGCATGTTAATTTTGTTTTTAAGGAACCTAGTTACCAGCACTTTGTGCAGATGTTTCTTTGTAACAATGTATGAAGTTACTTAAGTTCTTATTAACATCATTTTTAAATAGAAAAAGCGGTTATAGCAGCCCTTAAAGGTTTGTCTTGAAGCATCATATGTAGGCTTCTGAGTTCAAATTAGTAGTGATATGAAATATAATCAGCAAGAGTTGTAATCGCAGGCATGGTTAGACTGTTAAAAATCACATCATAGTTAAAGAGATTTAAGTAGCCTGGCTGCACAGGGAATTGCAGCCAAACAGGGCTAAATGGCAAAAAGAGACTGTGACATAGGTCATAACAGTTTCCTCATTCTTTCTGTTGGGTACCTGAGAAGGATGATACAGACTAACATGCCACAGAGAACAGTGTCCACTTTGCAAAATTAATAGGTAATAAGATGGCCTTATAGTAAGCTGCAGAAGTCATGACTGGGCACTTAGATATACAGTAGCTGTGGTAATATTAATACAGTAATAGGATTTATTAAGGACTAAGCTTTGCAAAATGTCCCCTCCACTGCCTTCAAAGCAAAGACATTTATAAATAAGTTGAAAGGATAAGGGGCCAAAATATGCCTTTAGTTCCCCTGTCTATACTAGTTTCATTGGAAATTCACCCTACTTATTACAGTGAACCCGAGAACTAGTCTGAGTAAATATCTTTTGGATAAGAAATAACAGGGTCCTAGGTATAGAGGTGGTTCACTCCACAATAACTTCCAAAGCACAATGTCAAAACAAATAAAAAACATTGAAAATAATTTCCTACCACTTTAATTACTACATTTCCCTGTCCAGTGAGCAAGAATTAGAATGCCAGTGAACTATGTTGGTCATTTTTGTTGTCAGTTGGGCACAGCTTGGGGCATTTATTTCTTATTGTTCTTCATATTATGTTTTTGTTGGTTGTTTTGATGAGTGAGTATTTTATGTATGCCAGACAACCATTGCCTGGCCAGCCAGCTGCTTCCTTGTCTGTTCTTTTATTCTGTTGCTCAGACCAATAGGGTCTATTGTGCTGGATAGCACCATACTGTTGTTTTCTTTTTTCTCATGTACTATTTCCAGATTTTGGAGTAGATTGATTCTCTGTTGTTTTGCCACTACTTTTTTTGGAGTGGTTTTTAAAGGACTT